ACCCTAAAAATCTGATGTTTTTAAGGAAAAAAATTGACTCAGCTACCTTATCCATTCATAGGGCTTTTAATAACATGTTTCCGACTAAGGAACAAGCTGGAATCTCATTCATTAATTCAATACTCATTTTCGCCTTCCTTTTGTGTCGAATAAATCTAGTAATGATCAACGACTAACTAATCTCTAACCCTTTTCTTAGTCTTTCCGTGGGAGCCGCGTCAAATCTGTATTTACATACACTATTTGCAATACCAGAAGTTTCGCCGTGCTACGACATCTTTGATGGTAAAAGACTCTTGCATAGTGACAAAAGATATTGAAGCCACTGGCCACTTGCTAAGAATTAAGAAAACGAGTGTTTTTAATTTGTTTATTCCTCAAAACTAACACACATTACAAGTGTCATATAGTACCAAGGGTTTCGATCCCACCAATTAAAAAGTGGTTCCTATGTGATAATGCCGCTAGTAAGAGGTTCAGTTCGTAGCCCAGTCAGTTTTAGTCCACTTACTGTAGTAAAAAAGTAAGGTATATCAATCAGCGAGGTTAACTATCTCCGTAACCGAGAACTTTATCTCTCCAAAAATACACTCATTAATTTTAATTCCACAAAACTCAAATGTCCAATAATAAATTCATGCCCCAATTGCCAATATGTGGAGGTTACAGGCTATAAACACCTAAATTAATTACCATTCTCAAAGGAATTGGATATTTTCTGTGAATTGCAGACAAAACAAGGGTGCCAATGATTCAGAGGGTAGTAAAAGGCTTAGTTCACCCACTGCCGCGGCCCACAATTGGATGCCGAATTTGTCAGAGTTTCCCCCAAAATCCTTATCTCGTTTGTGAATAGTGTAAACAGACAAATTTGATAAGCTAACAGAAGATAGTTACAATAATTACTGAAAATAAGTATGTGTTTCAAAACTGAGTAAGTGTTTTACCTATCACATTTTATAGCCTGAAACGATAGTGCTGTGCATTCCCAGCATTTTAATTTTCTCGAAGCATCTATATATAAAGCCAAAAGTACCCATGAACTTTTGAGAAAACTACAAGTCACACCCCCATAAACCATATAGGTAGGTACTTAAAATGTTCGTCATGACGAGAAACCTTGCACAAAACTATCCATTATTTCCTTTCGTAAATTGCCCTTTACGGTCGTAATTCCTTTAAGGGAACTTTCCATATACCTAATGTTAAAAATGCCTCAGCTGTACTTATTTGTTTGTATTACTGTATCCTGTTTTGTTTATTTCAGCTTAACTTAACCAATCAATAATTTTAATAATACTTATGAAGTCAAACGGGGTGAAACCCGTGGTTAACAGCTAGTTTTACTAAGGAACAACTAACCACTGTGTTCTCTTCATAAGTGTTCCAACCAGTTGGAACACTTATGGCATCCGCGAGCTTCCCGCACCTCCCCTACTTTTGCCAACTGTTTCAACTTTTCAAGTTGGTTCCATGATATTTAATAGCATTAAAAAGTTACATAGTATTCCAACAGGGTGCAGAACTATTTTTTTTTTCATTAATGACAACAGTTAATTTCTAAGCAACAAAAAAAAAGCTGTGATACACAATGAGAACTGTCAAAGTAGGATTGTTTACAGTTATACTTATGTTTTATAATAAACTAGCTATACCCGCGGGCTTTGCCCCGTTTTACTTCATAAGTGAGCTGTGAGCTCGTTCGCATGGCTCAATCACGTCCTGGTTGAAGTTCGTTCGCTACGCTCACTCACCTTTAGGTTGGAGCTCGTTCGCTGCGCTCACTTGCCTTCAAGTTAGCTCGTTCGCTACGCTATAACTCGCCTCCAGGTTGAAGTTCGTTCGCTACGCTCACTCACCTTTTGGTTGCAAATTAGCTGTTGTCATAAAATTAAAAAAATAATAGTGCTGCACCCTGTTGGTAATCCTTGTAACTTTAATGCCATTGCACATCATAGAACAGAACCAACTTGTTTAATTGAAACAGCTGTTAAGATTCATTAATTCCATTTAAATATGAGTACTCATAAGGTTAACATTGGAAACTCCAGAGCCACTGGGGCGGAGCCCGAGAGTCCGATCAGAATAAAAACAACTTAGTTTTCCTATTTAATGCCTAAAGAATCAGTGTACCAAATTTCAGCCTCCTAGGTAAATGGGAAGTGGGAGAATTAGTGATGAGTGAGTGAGTGAGTGAGTCAGTCAGTGAGGGCTTTGCCTTTTATATATACAGATAAAGATAATTTATGATATTGTGCGAATGTTTGATAATTGACATTTTTCTATTGTTTAGGTGCAGGGGTAGAACATTATGGCTATGCTAGACATGTTGTACTATAGCTTACCGTAAATTTTCTCAAACGTGTCCTTCTCCATTGCAAACGCAGAGCATGAGTACAACTGCAAGAAGCATTTTATACTTATACACCTAGACCCTGTATGAAGGACGGGTACTATGCTAGTATTTTCATAAACAATGAACTACAATAATTTACTTTTTCTCCATAAGAATAACATGGAAATTTTAAATTTACGGCTTTATGAATTTTATCCTGAACCATTAAGCACATAATAAAGCTTCAATATACTATATTGTTTGTTTTTAAGCTCTACAAAATGGCTTAGAAACTAATTGCACAATTTAATGTTTTTAGGGTCAAAATGGGAAAACCCTACTTTTACCCCATAAGCCCCAGTACAACCATAATAGTACCAAGATAAAATGTGTACATCAATGAAAACTGGAAAAAATTAATTATATAACTACTTATTGTACATTGTATAATTTTACCAGTGCAAAGCCAGGTTTTGCTGCTAGTTTAATAAAAATAAACATGGGCCTTATGGGTTGCCATGCTGGTGACGAAATGGCAACGAAATATAAACAGAAAGTCAAAACAAATGAAAGAAATTCCAATCACATGTTTTATTTACAGTGTGGGGTGAAAATAGTTGAAGTCCGTACATTACATATTTTTGGTTGAGTTTTCAACCACTGTACAACCTCTAGTATATACATAAAAGCCAATGTATGTCATATATTTGTTCTTTATGTATTGGTATTACCAAACCGGGCATCCGATTGTGATGAAACTTCAGGAAGTTGTTGTATACACCCACGGGAAGGTTTCTGTCCCATTCTTGAACTCCTTTGGGGCTCCATTTAAGTGGCTCTGAAGTCTCCCTTGTTTACCTTATGGGTATTAATATTTTGAAAAAATCAAAGAATATTGACAGCTGCTTCAAATAAACCGACAATTTGGATTCTGTGATGTTTAATAGCATTGAAAAGTTACAAGGTTTGACAACAGAGTGTACCACTTTTATTATTTTTGTTCTCCCAGTTGAAGGTTGCAAAGCACAGGTACAACTGCTAGTATTATATGAGTTTGATCGGATGGTGTTTTTGGCCTCTGGAGACCTCAAAACAAAATACCCCCTCCGCAATAAACCTGCAGACTAAGCGAATTTCCATTTACCTGGCTGGATTTCTACTAAAATATTCCCTGAAAATTGTCAGATTTATATCCTATTTAAATAACATTAATTTTAATGAGTACCTAGGTTTGCTGCTACAGGGAAGGTATTGAGTTGTGTTTTTTATTGAAATGTTAATAGCTTAGTATGAAATAAACAAAATTGACAAATTTGATCAAAATACATCCATAAACAAGCAAACTACAACAGTTTATTTATTCTTCATAAGAATAACACGTGAATTTTAAATTCAAAGTTTTTTTAGATTATCTCCTTAACCGCTAGGCATACAACAACGCTTCAATTAACAAAATTATTTATTTTTTTAAGCTCTACAAAATGGTCTGGAAAGAAATTGTGAGATTTTATGTGTTTAGAGTAAAAAATGGGAAAACTAGTTTTTAACCCACAAGTTCCCATAGTCCGATCATGCTGGTTCACGAACTTGTTCAAATAAACGTAGGTTTACACCATTTTTGGTGAAGTTATCTCGCTAATGGACACATATATATATATGTGAATTTGAACAGAGGGTGTTTTTGGCCTCTGGGGACCTCAAAATGAAAAAGCAAATCGATCCCGGGTCTTGGTCTTGCCATGAGGCCTACGGTAATAGCATTGACTATTGGATACTGGAGTAGCCTTCCCATCTATGTACCAGCTGTAGCCAATTTTTTATTTAAAAAGAACGTATTTGTGTGAGCCAGTCACAAAATGCGCTAGTGTCTAAAATTCTATTTTTTACTTTATTTTTTGTTGCTGACCAGGTTGAGGGGTCATAAGAGTTGCTATAACTCAACATAGGTCATTCCCTATGTTTGATAAAACTTGACTTGGTAATAAAGTTAGTGTATTTGACGGAATTAAGTCGTTTAGATCAGCACAATCCTTAGGTGGCTCACATCAAATATGACGATTTTGATAAAAAATCCGGCAACAAATTTAACATGGGGATGGAATGTCTATTAATGGTAATAGCTTATTCCCTGTATGGGAAATTCGCTAAAAGTAAATCGGTCCAGGTCTTCGAATGAGATCTACGGTAATAGCTTGTTCCCTACAAGAGATATTCACTAAAATGCTTAGCGCCTCTCATTTAACTGAGTAAAGTAAAATTCTAATACTTTCTCTTAAGTCTACTTTTTACTACAATTTATCAGGATAAACAAGTAAAGAATAACATAAAAACATTATTATCTACTCTAGGTCCTATGTTAAACCCAAATATGAGTGTAGGACTATAAAATACCTAGTGTACCTTTGAAACTAAAGCCAGCTATTTATTATAGTTCGGCCGCTTAGAAAGCGACCTCCTCCAGCATTGGTTCAGCATTAACGCGCAGGTCGTTTTCTAAGCGGCCGAACTATAGCTCTGAAGTTATTAATTAAAAGCCTGATTATAAAAAGACAGCTGGGTCCAGGTTTAAACAATCAGAAGTTAACTTTTCGTTTGTGATTCTTCTCTAGATCAAACCGAGAATTGTTTAACTGTAAGGCCAAGGTGTAAATTAAAAAGAGAAACCTTAAGTGTCAATGTTTTAATTTTCGATAAAGCCACTTAAAAGTGTTGCTACTCTGTCTATTTACAATGAATGTATTTACAATGCTCATATATACAAAACGTTCTCTATACACCTAATCTGAGTAAAATTATAACTGGATGCAAAATTAAACCCTGTTAAAACGTAACATAAGACAATGAAAAGTCATTCAGTCTTTATAATTTAGGCCTACAAAATCATTTTAACAATTATAAAACAAAACATAGGAAATTAATAAAATATACAAGAGTATTAGATGATGATGATGACCTAATAAACATTATGGAGATTGCTTCGACACAACTAAGTTCAGTGTTTGTTTTTATTGGATTTCTCGATGATTAATTTTTCTGGTTCATAGAGTTGACTCACAGTCACCTGAAATCAAATCAACGAGTTCTTAATTATCATGAATTATTAACCCTTCGCGGATGGGTGACGGATATATCCGCATAAGTCTTTGGCGATAAAGGACGGGTGCCGGATATATCTGCCTTATCTTCAGCCTGGCTTGTGTTTTTGCAGTATCCCAGATTTCACAGGCTATTACGGCGCTACTTCCCCGTGCTCTCCGCAACCACTGTGACCTTGAAAGCGACACGCCAGCCTCCCGGCCACCCGCTGTCCCCCACCCCATGTTGGGCGCGCAGCACAACGTTGACTTTGTTGGCGCTAAAAGCTTTATGTGAATAGCAGCATGAAATAGTGATAACATATTGTCACGGCCATGTTTTCAAAGACGGGCGACGGATATATCCGCCGTTTTCCTCCTTATCCGCACCATTTATTTTATGCATAAAAACAAGTAAAAAATTATTTAGATAGTACGAGATGTTCCATTGTGTTTATTTCATGTATACAGGTATCAATAATCAAAAAACACAAATAATAAAAATTAATTTCTTTTTTATTTGAATAATTTTTACCCATCCTAGGCCATAAAAGTTGCCCGTCCAGGAAGAGTTAACACAGTGAGCTCAAGGAGTTATTATATTTTCTCATGTACCGATATTATGGAAATAAAAAATTCAAATTCAAAATCAAATAAGCTTAGAGTGAACAGTCACACACAGTAAAGATAGGTAACAGTAGCAAGAAGCCTAATTTAAGGTGCAACTCACACAAAGAATGCACTCAACCCGTCAACGTTGCCACTGTTAACATTCACTTCACATCGTTATGTCACTTAGATCTTTTCGAGCTTTCTTTTTACTGTTAAAATTATATGTGTGTTGTTTTCTCTCAAAGATTTGGTATTGATAAGTTGTTAATTTTGTCATGTGATGTTATTGCATTATTTAGTTAAGTATTTTTCTTTGCATTATAAGTTCAGTTAATTGCTATTAGAAAATTAGTCTAGCTTGAGTGTGAGAGATAATATAGAGTAAGTCTTTGTTAAAATGATGTACCTTTGAGCAAATAAATAAATAAACGCTCCTGAACTCTTTATCGTTTATTTTAGGTGGACATCTCCCACCAAAATGAACAGGTTAACTCCTCTTGAGTTGTCATAAGCACACTAGACTTGACTGAGGTCGGACCCGAACCCTCAATCTCTGTTTCATGATCAGAGAATCAAAGCTTTGGAGCCTTCGTTTTGTTGTTTGGACCCACCCATCTACTAAACTAACAGGCCTACTACAGTACGGTAGCGAAACAAGAGTAGCAGTTGTAAGGTGGGATTCAAGGCTGCAGCAAACATCAAGTATATCTTATATCGTTTTCTATCAGTTATGCTTGCATAGTTGTAAATGAAAGGTTTTGTTTATCAAGGGATAGCTATGAACTTTCAAGTTGCTATTCACTTAAGAGTCTTCCTTAGTGGAAGCCATGTTGGATTTCTTCCCCATAAGAACAATGTTAACTTTGGGTCCAAATATCTCATCAGCAAATTGTCATATAATTATGGATAAGGAGTTAAATTTAAGGAATTGCGGTCCTCTAGAGATTGACGTTTTTTATTTCACAATTTTTAATTTTTATAATGAATAATTGATTATTAATTAGCTTAAAATTAAGCTAATTATTGAAAGGAAATGAAAATGGATTTTCGAAATTCAAAAACCTCAGTCACGAGTCTATTATGTTAAAAATACAAATTATAAATTTCAAAGCTATATCTTAACAAATAACGCCGTTACGTGTCCACAAATGATGTAATGTTTAACATTGTTCTTATGGGGAAGAAATCCAACATGGCTACCACTAAGGAAGACTCTTAAGTTTACAGATTAGCCTATGTTTTGTTTAGAGATTTAAGTTTTTATGATTAGTTGATGGTAGTTCGGAGGTTACGTTTAAGACCAAGTGGTCCTATTGTTTGCAATGTAAAATGGGCTAAGTATTTAATATGATTTCAATCGCCCTCTCCTGGAATGGATATTGGATCAATGACTACGTGTGCTCCCACTTTCTCCGCGTCCCGCCACCTCCGAATTCTTGAGTGACCCTTATAATCCCCTGTCACTGCCTGCGTTGCTAGCTGTCATTTCAAGCAGTCATTGTCATCAAGTCCCGCCTCCTAATTACCTCCCCTCCATAGTATAAATAAATCAACCCTATGTATGTCATTTAATTTTTATCCAAATGCTGAATTTGTGTCACAAACGCTGAATGTTTACAGCTGTTACGTTAAGCAAATGGTATTATAGCAAATGCTTTAGTCTAGAATATTAGCGTCGGCTGCTAGACTTTTTAAAAATTAAAACTTAATTTCTAAAAAAAAACTGAAACCCTAAACTAAAATTATGGCTTTGACATTCCCTAGTTCTAAAAATTACCTTTCTTTCAACACAAAAATCGTGAAAATCCGTTAAGTGGTTGATTCAGAATCGTGAAATTAAAAAAACCCTGTTACGTTTTAATATATACCCCCCCCCCCCTACGTTGGCCCGTCCTACGTGTACGGGAATCGACTAGTCAGTTAAAATTGTGTTTAACAGCTAGCTAAATTTTAAATCCGATAATTTGAAACCCATGATACAGTTCTCGGGAGCAGAGCATACAATTTGATTTGTATATAGAGCAATGGTCTTACTTATCTCTGTGGTCTACTCATATCTACTTATCTTACTTGTTTCCTATAATCGATGACAAAATCATAGACTGAATAAAATAACCTCATAGATCTATAGAATATTTTACCATACAAGTATTTTTAAAACAAAGAAATTATACAAACTGGATATTTTACTATAAATTCCTAAACAAAATATTCAGTATTTTAGCGGTGTTTAAGGGAGGCTTCGCCCTCGCGGAAAGTATGAACGCAGGTAGTAACCGAGGATTTTAAGGGTCACTCTGAAATTCGGAGGTGGCGGGACACGGAGGTAGCGGAACATGGAGATAGCGGGAGGTAACCGATGCCTATGGCCTACAGTGTGAGATAGGCCTAGTTGAATTGCATTAAAAATTAAAAGTACAAGGAAAATGAGACTATGTTCTTGTACCTGTCTTTTTATGACTTCCAGCGCCTTCAAGCCTTCATTAAACTCTTGCTCAATAGCAGTTGTATCTGTCAGGCATTTATTTTCTTTGAATTTGTCATGAATCCTCCGCAGAGCGTACATCCTGTAACATGATACACAGTACTGTAATCAATTCAGCTAACTAGTACAAATAAAAACAACTAAAGATATTTTGCTAACCCAAAATGTAATTTTTCCACACTCATAATTGGCATAAATATTCCTACGACTATGATTCACTAGATGTATGAAATTTAACGGGCTAAAATAGGCCTATTTAGATACTTACTTGGATTCTTGTCTTCTTTATCTTGAGATTTTGAATAGATAGCGTCAACATTTATATTGTACATACATAAAACAGTAAATACATAAAAAAAGTAACTGAGGCTGTGTTGGAAATATTAGACTCCCCCCTTATGAAAGGTTTCTCAAGCTACTATACATTGTAAAGTGGCCTTTGCAAAAGAGAGTAGGCCTACAGTGTTGTTTTGCGTCTAGGTTTCTGGACTATTTCTGACAAGTTGTTATAGATCTTCAACTTAAAACAGAGCTGCTGGAAAAATACTGTTTAGCTTTTTAATTTAAGTCATATAGACAAAAGAAGACAAGATTTTTCCAACAGGGGAGGTACCTAGTATACATTTTTGTATTGTTTTTGGAAACTTCAGATCGATCGTGGCTCTTGTAACTGAAAAGTGTTCACTGTTTACTAGAATTACTCAAAGTTTCTAGTTCACGAGCCTCAATAATTCAGAGTTTAAGTTTACCTTTATAAGTTGAAGTTTTATGTCCTAGGGTGTCACAAAGAAAGCTGGTTACAAGTAACTTACTTTCAGCGCTTGTTCCAAGCGCTTGAGAATGCTGTTGTGTGTTCACAACAAACGCTTGCATTTCAAGCTCAGTGTAGTCTCAGCTCTGCTTGAGACAATATCTTCCTCAAGTGATGAAGATATTGGACAATGTGAGGTTTTTTTTTCTTATATGAGAATGGAGTTAACCACTTTTTATTAAATACTCAAGAAAATTTAAAGTGTTTTAGTGAAGTTTTGGGGGAATTGGCATAAGCAACCTATCCATGCACGAGAATGAATTTTAGACCAATAATTAAACCTAAAAAATACTCAATGGGAGTTTTAAACACTCTATGCAGCTGATTAATTATGATGCAAATAATATTGTGAGATATATTCAAATGTTTTACATTTCTAGGTAAATAAAGTAAAAGTATACAAGTTTCATCTATAAAAAATCCAACACTTAATTAATATTGAATTAAATGTGTTTGTCTATCATCTTAATACATATATGTTTTATTTGTCCTATTGGTTACGTTATTGAACATTCTAGGGAAAAACCACAATACGTGGGTAATATATTTATTTTGAAATTGGAAGCTCTAAATACTTGAGCTATCAACTCATCGACATCCATACTGCACTGTTAGTAGTTTGTAACTGACTGGTTTGGTCAACAAGCGCCGGAAAACAAGTACGAAACGTTCTTACGTGCTTGTCAGTACTTGTAACAAGCGCTTGCTAACCAGCACAAGCTTTGTCTGTGAACACACACGCTTGATACTATGTTGACTTTTCTCACGCCGGTTCGAGCTTGCAAGTGCTTGCCAACAAGCGCTTGTAACCAGCTTTCTTTGTGAACGCGCCCCTACTGTGCAAAGTCAGCTGTTTTTATTCTTGTTGAGGCATAAAGATCAATCTTCTTTGTTTGTCTGGCTAGTTCTGTTATGTTAGCCTAGATTAAGTAGCTATTAAGTTTATTTTGTGCGGGTCGGACGTCATGTCGGGTTGTCAGCTACGCATGAATGTCAAACGTTGACAAACGACAAAAAATAAGAATGATTTAAGCAGTTGGTGACATGTTAAAAAAAGTCAAATCATTTTGGAATGTGGCATTCTGCCTGACATCTTACCAAACATTTTGGAAAACCGGTAAAAGAATGAGGCTGAATGTGGATCGTTAATGACACATAATGATGCAGTGTTTAAAGATGTAAGTAAGATAAATCTGTGTAAAGATAAACATTAATTACCATTGCAATAGAAGTTAGCCAAAACTTATATCTAATAGATAAAAGCAAGAGTACTCCATTGGTAAATTTTTCATCCTTATGGATCAGCTGAAGACAATTTTATTGTTAGTTCTGTCCGGTGCACTAGAAGTCTTGTTATCTTTAAAATTTGTTTCTTGTTATTTGAGTAATACCTAATTTAAACCCTTGTTTAACCAAATAAACCAATGGTACTTTCCTGTTAAAGGGAACATCTATAATTATCAATGAGTTCTTATCGATATTTTATTTTTCGATCCGATTTATCGATATTAACAAGTTTAAAAATGTCAGCTGACAACTACGATAAATAAATATTGTTAAAACACACACAACAAACAATTAAAAAAAAAATATATTGAAATATAACTTTTCTAAAACTAACCTAGTAACGTAACTAACCAAACTTGCTGTAGGCCCTAACATATTTTAAAATTCCGTTCGATAACTTATAGGCTACCCCACATTTTCTGTTATCAAACGGAATTTTTAAAATGGTACAGCAAGTTTGGTTAGTTATGTTAGTTTTTAGTTTAGAACAGTTTCATTTCTTAATCCACATTATTTATTATTTTTGCCTATACAAAGATTAGTTCTCAATCTGTAGTTTAAATCTCTTTGAAGATATTTAACAGAAGGAATATAGATCGTAAAGGAAAACAAACATGTTGATATATTGAAAAGAAATCATCGATAATAAATAATGAATGTTCCCATCAACAGAGGAAAGTACCAAAACAATCTAGTCATAAACAATAACTCGTCCCCTAAGTTAGTTATTTAACCAAACGGTAAAGCACATATAATGAAATTAACCCTAAAATAAGTTAATAAAAACAAAATTTCGTCGACAATAGGTAACCTAGAAATCAGTGTCACCGGTGTCAACTAGACACGAAAAACGAGCTTCGGAATTTACAATGGAATGAGGAGTCTACTTGTGTTTGTTAATCTATGCTTATAGACTACCTAGTCATAGGTCTAACTACAGAAAAAATAATTTTAAGTTATGTTTGGGCTATTATAGGCTACTTTAAGTTAATAAGCTAGGCCTACTTTTAGTTGAAATGGCGACCATACAAAGATGGGTATTTCAAGCCAAGTATGAATGGAGATGAGTGTAGGATGAGTGGTGTGATCTTGTAGTCTGATTACTGACGAAGGCAGACATGTTCCTTTTAAACAGGACTGTTAATTAATAGCCGCCCATAACTTACAGCCAATGGCAACTAAGGGACCTACGGTTTATAGTGGAATCCGAGCCACATATTTGCCTTGTAATTTACAAATTCCTCTAATTTTAGGACTAATTTATTTCGTTAATTTTAGCGAATTTCCCATATAGGGAATAAGCTATTACCGTAGTACTCATGGTAAGACCTGGACGCGGGACCGATTTTTTTTTTCGTTTTGAGGTCCCTAGAGGCCAAAAACACCATTCGTTCAAATTCATATACCTATATATATATGTGTCCGTCAGCACGATAACTCGAGCAAAAATGATCCGATTTTGATGAAATTTGGTACAAACGTGTAAACGTACGTTTATTAGAACGAGTTCGCGATCCAGCATGATAGGACCATGGGAATGGGGGTTTACGAGGGGTTTTATGGGGTAAAAATAGGTTTTTCCCATTTTGTACCCAAAAAACATAAAATTTAGCAATTTCTTTCCAAACCATTTGTAGAGCTTAAAAAAACAAATAATTTAGTATATTGAAGCATTATTATGCGCCTAATGGTTACGGAGAAAATTCCAAAAAATTGTAAATTTAAAATTCCCATGTTATTCTTATGGAGAATAAGTAAACTGTTGTAGTTTGCTTGTTTGTGAACATATTTTGATCAAATTTGGAAAATGTTTTTATTTCTTACTAACTAGGCCTAAGTTTATTCACATTTTACAAAAAAAAAAACAAAACAGTTTTACCCTTCCTGATGCAGCAAACCTAAGTACTTGTTAAACTAATTCTATTTAAATCAAGAATAAATGTTATATTTTTAAGTAGACATTTCAGTGTAAATCCAAACAGTCAAATGGAAATTCGCTTAGTCTGCAGGTTTGCTGCGGCGGGGGTATTTTAACTTTAATTCTTTATAGGCCTAATTATAAAAATACAAGGGAGAAAAATCTAAAACTTTGCATGTAAACTTATTTCTTAGTCTAGAATAAGAATAAGAGTAGGCCTACCAAATTTCATGTAGATCTGAAAAGGTTAGGTTGTGAGCTGTGTTGATTTGGCATGGACTGACCCACGATAATTTTAGTTGCATATCATAATAAAGCTTATTTAAAAAGCTATAATTTGCCATACATTTCATGCCTCTATCTTAATTAGGAGCTGAGATATTCGTGCTTAAAGATTGTAACGTCTTCCAAAATCGGAATTTTTTTAATAACTTTAATTTTTTATAACTCAAAAAATACAAGAGATAAAAATCTGAAACTTTGCAAATAAACTTATTTTATTTTGTAGAATAACTGTACAAAATCTTATAAAATTATGAGAACCCTATGTTTATTTCATATGGACTGACCCGGTGATCTTTGGAAGTCAGAGGCGGAAGCGAAGGTTTTAGGTTCGACCGCTTCTTGCTTCGAGAAAAAAGTACAGTGTACTTAGCAGATTTATTATGGGACCTTAATGATGACGATCACGCTGACGATCCATAATTAACACGTGAAATAAGCGATGGTAAAATTCAAAAGCGTTTTACGTATGACCACAACGCCGGTTGTCAACGTAACAGTCCAATTAAAGTTTATAATAGCCTCCCGATCCCACGCACTGTCACTTTCCAGTCCTTCCATTGTAAACAAAGATCGCTGAGCAAAAACGTCCGCACCCAGGAGGCTACAACTGATGACACTAAATGCTACGTATAGCAATGTTAGGTGTAGTATGTAGGCCTATTTCTTTTGATTTTTGCATGGATAGCACTCCTGATGGATAGCACAATTTTAGCTATATAAGTTTAACTTAATAGCACTTGAGTGAAAATTTAAAAACGTACGTTTTCATGTCCCTGGCCTTTTACTTCGTAGCTACTGGATTTGTAGTTTATTATTATGTGTTTTAATATTTTTTGGGATGGGGGCAACATGTTACACACATTTATTTGGTTTTAAATAGGTTCTAGGTATTTTTTTCGTATTTTTAAAGTCTTGAAATTCACGACCATGACGTGTCCCTAGGGTACATTTTCCAACTTTCACGCTGTTTTTAGACTAATTATTCATGCAGAAATATATAAAGCCATATTTTTATGTCATCAATGGTTATTAAACTTACAAAAAAGGAGCATATTATAATTTTATTGTCATTGCAAACTGACTACCATGACATAATAAGTCTGTCCCTCGATTTGGCGTCACGACCATTTGGGAAAATTTTTCAACTTTGGAGCACGACAGTGGCAAGCCTGGCGATGATGGAGTCAGTTGGTTTTAGAGACTAGTTCGGGGTGTACGTCAGGATTGTAGTGCCGGTCGTTTCGATTTGAAAGGAGGAATTACAAGATTAATACAGGAAAGGTTGTGTTTTTTGTAATTTTGGTGTGTCCATGACCGTACATAGTCATTCGATGAAGTAGACATGGTGTTAATTTTTGTTTATAAGATATTTCAATTGCTAGATTAACCTAGAAGTCCACTTTGTATCCTCGAACATGAGGTGCAGAGCTACCGCCAGAACAGAGCCAAATAACACGTAATTTCACGACCAAAGTTTCACGACCATCGCGGGTTTTTTCACGACCTATCCAGCCTTATGGATTATAGTGTGTTTGGTCGTGACAATAACTTTAATATAATTGTAATTTGAACAGTTTAGTTCAATTGAAACACATAATTTTATTATAACTAACAGTATAATTAAAGGATTGTTTAGAAAGATTTAGATTTTTTTATAAAATTCACGACCGTACCGCTTGTCCCTGACCATCACGTTTATGATTTCTGTCATAAAAATTTCAAAAATTAAAATATCGTCATATTTCAATGTTTTATACACAAAAGAAGCACGCCTCTATGCAAACATAACGATTTTTCGGGTCTCAGGTAAGTTTTTTCGGAGTTATACAAACTTAAAAAGATATTAATGGCTTTTTTTCAATTTTTTTGAGTTTTTTATTTTTTTCTAGAAAGACCAAATATACTAAAAGCTCAGTGACCTTTTTAATGTATAATGGTCATAAAAGTAAATTAGTTTATAGCAAAACATAGTTATAAAAATAATATTAACTATTTTTAATATTCATTTAAACGTCTGTTATGGTCGTGACAGGATTTTGTGTTTTTCCACTAAAGATACTCTTTAAAAAAAAACTACCAAAGATATTGCGTTACCATGGGCATTTTAAGAAACTTCAAATGTTAATGAAATCAAAAAAATAATAAAAGTTTTGAAAAAAGGGGAAAAAAATTTGCAAAGTGTGTTTCCTGAAAACGTACCTACGTTTTTAAATTTTCACTCACTTATAAAAAGTAGGCCTAGGTAGGCCTAACTTTTTCTACTTCTAGCAAATGTTATAAGTTATCATTGCTAGATGTTAGCCTGCAAAAATCTGCTATATAGCAGGTTTTGCTACATAGTGTAAACCCAGCTTCCCGGATTTAGAAAACCTCATGCCCACAATACAGGAGGGCCTATAATACAGTAACTTACAGTAGGCCTAGGCCTAATCATAGCTAACTTAACACATAGGCTAGTTTAACTTATTTCAGCCAATATCTGAGATTTAAAAAAAATAATATTACTCAGTACTTAAATGCAGCTATTTACTACCTAATGGGCTATGCCAACCTAAAGAACAGCAGAAAGCTTACCTAAAATTATAAAGGGGAAATTTGGAAGCTTCTTTAAGTAAGGTTTTGTAGAGCTTCAGTGTTTTAGAGGTCTGACCAGCCATTGTATTATAGTATAGTTAAGTTTCAAGATTGTGTAATAAATTTATCTACAAATAATTACTGAGGATGATTTTTTCTAGAGCCTAGAGCCAATTAAATCTTCATGGTTTGTGAAGCTTGTCTTGGAATCGCCTCGCCTTCGCCGATTGCATTTAGTTTTTTGATTATTTTCCCGTCTGCCTACTTTTTTCTTTAGGTTGTAGACCTTTTTTGCATTGGGCCTTGGGCGCAGGCTTCTAATAAAACCATGTTACTGCTATCTGCATCCATTGAGATAAATAGATTATAAATGGAGTCACTACTTTAGGCCTACTCTCTGGTTTAACATTAAGAGAAAAGCGTGATCAAGAATCAAGAAAATGTCCGGATGTCCGCTTGTTGCCATGTTTTGTTGAGCACACTATCTCGGTTGGTTGGATTGATTGGTTCGAATTTAACAGCAATCCCACCAACCGGGCACAGGCCAACATAACAACACGAAAAACTAAAAAAACACAGCAAAAACAGTGGTGTGCTTTTTAAAGTCAGAGTGGTGACTCATGACTGCCTTATAGATGGCCGTGGGTGACTCCAGTTAGGGGGACAGCTCACTTACTCTACAGATTATAGACTATACGAGCTTTTTAAATAATATTGAAGGTTCACTTGCACTACAGGCTCGTATACTATACGAGCCTATCGAAAATAAAAAGTAAATGAAGAGGGTTCACTTACTCTACAAATCATTGTGCCTATGAGCCTCGTGTATTATATTTAAAAATACAGTAGGAAGGTTCGCTTACTCTACAGATCATAGTGACTATGAGCCAAGCTTACGAATTATTTGATAATTCAGGAATCGGCTCGTATAGTATACGAGCCAAAATAATGAATAATATAAATTATAGGAATAGGCTCGTATACTATACGAGCCTGCAGAAAAATATTAGATGGCTCTCTTACACTACAGATCATTGGCACAATGATCCGTAGAGTAAGTGAACCCTCTTCAAAATATTAGATGGCTCACTTACTCTACGGCTCATTTAGCTACTCGTTGCGCGGTTTGCGTTCGTGAAACTCTAGGCGCTATGCCCGGCTTCGACTGCTGCGACTGCCTACATAAGTGTATTGCATCACCTCAATTATTTATTAAAACGAAATAAATATGTATGCACAAGTAAATTTATTACATTTTTGGACTGAATACTTTAAAAATGGAGGGAGCATGACTTTTATGTTTAATTAAATTAAAAGTTATAGAATAAAACATATTTTGACTATGTGATTTGATCATGTTATATAATACACACTTGTATGATCCAGATACAGAGCTACAGACAAAACCTGTGGTCCGATTTAGATTAAATTTTGTATCTGGATTCATCCACGAGTCACTAATTTTTTAAGCACGGGTTGAGAAATAATGGCAAAAATTTATAAAAACAGTTCACCAGTTTAGAATATTTCTCAGTTACTGTGAGTTGCAAAAAAGTGTATACAGAAGCATTTGTGTTCACAGAAAATATAGAGGACTAGATGTATACAGAAGATATATTAAAATACAATACGCATACAACTATCAACGTTTACATATGTAAAATTAATGAATTTGTTGTGGTATTGAGTATTTTTAACATTATGACGAAGCCTTAACAAAATATATTTTTTTAAGGAGTTCTAGGGTGTTAAACTATATTGTATTTATCTTTTGTGGAAGATTCTGTCCACGATTTATGATTGCTAACAATTTAATACAAAGATTTAAGTCTCTGTACGTGAAGACTAAAAACACGAAACAAACTTTAAAGGGATAGAAAAGATTTGATCAGGAGCTGGCGTTTGATACCTTTTGGGAATAAATATAGCCTCTACTTCAAAGGTATACATGGTGAGGTAGCCTCTGGAAGTCCATCTTCAGGTTAACAAAAATGTCAATAGGTCATCTAACCAATTTGGTTAGATGACCTATTGACGTTTTCTGAAGATGGACTTATTTTCAAGTCCGAAACTATAGTAGTGTAATACTGAAGAAGGATCACTTGACTAAGCCAGGTAACTTAAACCATTTAGCTTAAAGTTATACAAGTTGGTTTCACACCAACATTTCATGCACATATGAAATCTATATAATTAATACGCGAACACGAAGTTTGTCGGTTGAATCCTCCACCATTTCTAAACCGATTTTATCCACTGACGTCTCATTGGAAAGAGCGTGTTGCGTAGATTTGCAAACTGGCCTAAAATTTTTGAAACAGTCCCTTGGCCTCTGCCACAGTGGCTTTTTATTAAGTTCCCATGTTATCCTTACGAAGAACATAATATTGTTTACATCAGCTGTTTAATTTCATTGTTTTCTTTGTTTTTCAATTCAACGAAACGCATTGGTTACATTAACTGATTTTGTGGAAATTAAATATCTATCTATATATTAATTAGGTACGAAAGCCGATTCTTTGCGTCAAAATTGTGGGCGACTGGGTAGTCGTAGAACGACGGGAGAGGGTTCAAATTAAAGGTCTCGATCCCGGAAAAATAGTTAAATTCCCCAAATTTTAACACAAAATTAGACATAACCTTTGACTTAGTCAATGATATAACGTAAAATGTTCTCCATAAGAATAGCATTAGAAGCCATTTGTCTGTTGATTTTTGTTTACCTCAATACAGCTGATCGTGATTTATCATTAAGCCAGTAAGCAATATTACATTTGGATTTAACTAGTTTGCCAGTAAATTCTGCAATGTACTGTATACTATATAAAACCAGGGATGACGTTACATACAATTGAGACTTTTGTCGTTATGTCTTAGAATGTTGAAATTAATTTTACTGTGCAATTTGCAAATTTGTGTATTTGTATGTAAATTAGCCAAGCGCATGAAATTTAGTAGAATCGTGGGAGATGGTTAAAATCAAAGTAAATGGAAGTAGAATGGCTGAAATATTTAAGCTTTGGTTTTTTTTTAAACATATGTTCACGAAGTTTACAAAATTATTTTACTTTAATTACATTTCTTCACATTAGTAGGTTATTGTTGTGCTGAAGGAATGTTTAACATGAAATAGCCCCATTGACTAAATAATCAACGATGCAAGATTAGTTAGAAAACTTCTGTTTTGTTTTTATTTCAAAACATATATTGAAAATTTATTCAAAACTTTTGTTTTAAATTTCATAACATTTAATTTGACACGTAATTGTAGTGTTTAATCTATACTTTGTATCGAGTGGAATAACCTTAACAGTTACTCTAGAGAATAACCTGGGAATAAAATTTGAAATAGGTTTGTACAGGCAATACATATATTCCTTTCATTAATTACTATAACAAATTCCAATGGGCGGAAAAATAAAATTGTTTGGAGTAGATTTTAACCAGGTATCTACTGTCTGTTGCTCCAAGGAAAAAAGGTTAAAATAATATAGCCCAACATGCATTGTATATATATATATACAATCTATATAGATAGTGAAGAGAGAATCTATAACAGTAAACCCTGGAGGTAGTTTTCGATTCTTCATGTTTCACTAACCAAAAATATGTACCTATATTAATTGCTGATGAATTTGTTTTCTTGATTGGTTTCATTAACATGATAATGGAACCCTAACCAATGGCAAAAGAGTTAGTAATCAGTCGATGATTAGCTTTTTTAACTGTAGGCTAAATAAATAATATAAACGGTAAAATGTTTTCAAACAAAATTTACATCCATTGAATGAAAAATAATATACTATTAACATGACTATAGCTGATATGGCTTAGCTGTCGGCTATCTGTACATTGCGTCATAACAGCAGACAGCGCTATGTTATTAACTTAAAAATTATAACGGATTAGCAAATAAATACTTTACTATGGTCTTAACAAACTATGAACCCACTGAACGTTTAAATTGGCCAATTTTAAAGAGAGTATAAAGTCAACCACAGCTTTAGGAGGAATCCCACCACATAAGCTGACACAGAGAGTAGTTTATATTTTATGTTGATCAGAAACGAAACTAGGGCAGCCTTTACACTAATTCAGTTGTGTCTTTACAAAAGGAGTAGAGCTATAATATTAGAAATAATAACTTGGCCAGGGTACTAATATGAGTACATGTATTATTGTAGCACTGTATCGATTCTGACACATAGATAATTTTATTCTTAGTTTGTTTAAATATTACAATAGTTTGTTTTACATTTGAGCTTTTTAGGGACTTATGTCCCTACAAGCCACTAGTTGATCAATATAAAGCCCAAAGTACACATGAACTTTTGTGAAAACTACAAGTCATAACCCCATAAGCCATATACTTAAAATGTTCGTCATGACGAGAAAACTAGCGCAAAACTATCCATTATTTCATAAACTGCCCTTAAAGGTCGTAATTGCTTTCCAAGGAAACATAGGAAAGTCATAGAACGCCACCAAGTAGCAGAAATCGAGATTTTTTAAAAATATTATCGTTATCATCCTATATAAAAGAAGAACACCTACAATATGAAGATTCCCACAAACAATGAACAAGGATGTTATCGAAAGTGCTACTATTTTGTAGGAAAAACGGACTTAACTTTAGGATGATTTGCAAAGGAAACCCCTCTAATGCCGAATTAAACCGGTACGGCAAGGACATTATATATGTTTTCATAAAAGTCAAGTGATATTAAAATAACATGACTACATCCAAGAAACCTTAACAAAACTTGCATTGAAAGATTCGCATTATTCACATTCAAGGGAAACAAAACCCATCTGAACAACATTAGGGCCTTACAATTCTGCATATTTTCAAGTAAATATAACTTACGTTATAACAGTAACTAGCCAAATTAATGCCAATATATCTATCAAATATTACAATATGTATAATTTTACACTAATTTTTAATGAAACAGTATGTATTTCTTGTAATTTCAAGCAATACATAATGGTAATTTGTAGGAAATTTTATTCTCTTTCAGAATATCACGCTCCACTTTGGTCGATTTCCTCGCCATTTCAAAGTTATTTGCAAAAACGTTAAGCAACCTCCAAATGTATAGTAGTGAGAAAATACTGAATTAAAGATGTTGTTTAAAAGCTTTGTACAATTAAATCTACAGTTCTACTGAACCGATTTTATTAATTAATAGGTCATTGGATAGCATAATTTGTGAATACTGTATTTGCAAATAATTATGAAAGTACTGTTGAGGTTGCAAGCAAGA